AAATATTCTGCAACTGGATTATGACATCCCTCTTCCGAGTTGTAGGATATTGTGTTGGGTTCTAGCCTTAATATTTCATTTGGGTGTTATATTAAGGACTCTTATCAACTAACTTGAATTTCTCCCTTTTATAGATGTCAAAATCTATCAACTATGGTCTTCCTAAATCCTTTGGAAAAAACTTTCCACACGAAGATGATGTTCCACGATTGGATTGTGGAAATGAAAATCATGCTTCACTTCCTCCACTTTCTCTAATGATTCTACCTGACCCACGTGTTCGAAGACTTGAAAAGTTCAAGGTCACTCAAGCCCTATTGGTAAGCAAACATGAAGATGGAAAGTCTATATGTTCTCATGTCTTAGAGACGAAGTTGCATATTGACAAGTTTAGGATGTTAGGTGTCTGTAACATCCCAAGTTCGGAATAAGAAGTGAAGGGTGCTAAGTGTAAATAAAGGAAGGGACTCGACGAGTAGGTACGCTTACTCGCCGAGTCGTAGGGGGCTGGGCCGCGAATTAAGTGACCACTCGCCAAGTTGGAAGCTGGACTTGACGAGTTGGTGCTGGAATGAGAAAAACCCTAATCTCAGGGTTTGCACCCTATTTAAGGACTTTATGTCCTTCTCCTAGCCTCTTATTCCCCCAAAGAGTTCCATAAAACCCTAATTTCGTGTGAGGCTTCATTATTGAGGAGATTGGAGCTTGGAAGAGGAGATTTGTGGGAAAGAGCTTGAGTAATTAAAGGCTTGTTGCAAAGGAGTGGTGTAGATCCGAGATCTACTTCAATTGGAGCTTATATTGGAGGTAATAATCTGTTGCTTGGGTTCTTTTGTATCTACATCTTTTATCATTTAAAATTTTGGGGCATTTTTGGTATGATTAAGAGCTAATTTGAGTTAGAGACTTAGATCTGAGGTTGCCACTTCAGATCTAGGCTTGTGATGGTCCATAATGTCATAAAGTTTCAGTATTTGAGTTGTTGGTGAAACCCCTTTGTCCAAAACCCAAGCCCTAGTGTGTTTTGGTCCTAAATCTCCATCGTTTCACGTAAAGTCTGCAACTTTACGTGAGGGTTAGATTGAAGAAGGGTGGATGTATGGATTTGAGCCTATGCATGGCTCGAATAGCTTTTGAATGGGTTGAGAACTGGAGAGACTCGGTTTCACACCCCAAAACCGGAATGACGGAAATGTTCTGGGGTGGATGACGTGATGTCAAGTATCACAATATATGCAATATAGTAATCAAAGTACAACAACCATTGCATTAATAGTAATAGTTTTACATAGTTTACATTTCATTGCAACAACAAAGTAATACAAGAAATAATATAGATGCAGCTCGGTACTAGGCTGTCTCCGCAATTGCTCTCGGGATTTACCTGTCTATCGATGACCTGAGAATACAAGTTATTTTGAAAGCGAGTATCAGCATTTTTATAATGCTAGTGAGTTCATAAGTATTTAGTGTCATTTGTATAATTACACATTTTTATTCAAAATAACTTTATGAGAGATAGTAGTTTAGAATCTACGGTGTATTAGTGTCCTTTCCAGAAAATCCTATATTTTCTAAATAAAAGAAGTCTTCTACCAAGACCTGACGAGTTTATGTTTTAAGGTGAAAATTTCCCCAAAATATTATCCTTATTAAAATACAGTATTGACTTCAAAGGAAAAATAAGTAAAACACAAGTAAAAATACTAGGGGAAAATAACATATACTTCAGCAGTAATACTGCTAACTAAAAGCAATTGAAAACATAGACTCCAGGAGAGTATCGAATAACTGATACACCTGGCTCAGTCTAATAAAGGAAGCACAAAAATCCAGACAACATCGAGGGAACGATATCGCTTGAAAATCTAAAACAAAAGGGTGAATGTGAACTCAAATGTAACCATGCTGATCGATGATAGAGTATCCGATGACCCTCCAGGTGACGCGTAGAGGTAGTGGCAATAGAGGTAGTGGCATTATGTCACCCATGGGCCTTACCGGCACGGACTGTAGCTAGTAGTATGGGTGTGGGAGTTTCAGTACCGTATAGATCTATACACATGATGTTCGCTCTCCTTCCCAGAGACTCTGGTTACACAGCGTTGACGCAATGAAGCGTCGTAGAGGGAAATAGTGTTTCACATTCTAAAGCAAAAGAGATAGAGATAGAGATAGAGTCTCCTAACTATTCCTAAAATAGTTACTAGTGTATCTGGTCTATGAACTAGTCGATGGAAACCTTTATGTCTATACATGTATACATGATATATAACTAATGTTTAAACAACCTTTGGATGGATGCCCGATACCCACCAGACCACATCCCAATGAGGAAAAGGAAATAGGGCGAACTAACCTTCCTAAGTCTTTTAAACATTATTTATATAACTATACAAATATAGGCATTCATTTAACGAAATAAATACATAGAACAAACTTTAGTAAAACCTTTATACTTAAGAAATCTACAACTTGATGTCATTTTGTAAAACAAGCTCTAAAAAGGGTTTTTCTAAAACAGTTTTAATGAAGAAAGCCTTTAATAATTCATTACATTTGGATGTCTCTTTAACAAAACACAATTTGGAAAACTTTGGATAATCTTTTATGATTTAAAAAAAGAGATATTCATACTTTAACAAGATTTGAAAACATGATTTGAAAATCTTAATTTGATTGAAATAGTTAACATGCAAAAGTCTAGTTTCCTATACAGTTATTAATCACATGTGATTTATCTAATAACTATATAGTTCAACTTGGATTCCCCCCCCCCCTTATAAAAGCTGTGAAAATCATTTAAAAGGTAAATTCAGGGGTATGAACTCACCTGTGGCAAATGGATCCGATGGAAGTGTCGGTCGAGTGCTCGGTGTCAAGTGAAGACTTGAACATACTTAGTGACCTATTAACATATAGTGACATATGTTTACATACCATTAGTGAATACTAATTAAACATGTATAAGCATCCTAATGTGCGCAAAACACTTTGGTCAAGTGCTAGGAGGCTTATGGGTTGCAATAAGGGAGTGTATGGCCTAGTTAGGGAGTTTACTCTTCAAGAGTAAACTCTTTATGGAGTTTTCGGCCCTAAGACCATATCCCCATGAGTTTACGGCCGTAAACTCATGGGTGGTGTGTTATTGGATGCTAAATGGTATTATATCACTTGTAGATTTAGGCTAGGTTCAAATCAAGGGCATAGGAAAGGGTTAAGGCTCCAAATGGACCACTTAAGGGAGTTCACGGCTGTAAACCTAGAGTTTACGGCCGTGAACTCTCACTTGGTCATTTCCTTCATGAATTAAGGTAGCTACATCAAAATGTATGTCATCTAACTAGAACTTTGTAGTATAGGTTCTTCATATTATGCTAGTTAGGATGAAACCTTGGAATATTTAATATTTGCATGTATAATACAGAAAACATAGATCCAAGGTTTATAGGGTTGCATGTACACCATAGGAGTGTTAGAATGCTCAAAACCCATCAGTGGTATCAGAGCCTAGGCTTGTTTTCTTATACACTTGATGCAATTGCTGAAAAATCGAAGTTATATTGTTGTTTGGGCAGTGGACTCGCCGAGTTCACTAATGGACTCACCGAGTCCAAGGCAAAATGCAACCAACTGGTCGAGTTGGTTCAAACACTTGACGAGTTGGACCCCCTGACAACATATCTTCGAGTTTTGGTGCTGGAATTGGTCCAGAATCATTATCTTAAACTGTTTTAGACTTATAAAAACTGTTTTTTTTTTGATATGGTAATGATTATGGTTGTGACACCCCCAAACCGGAACGGCGGAAACGTTCAGGGGCGGATGACTTCATGTGGTAACGTAACAAATGAATACATAGTGAAGAAAGCAATACAACCATCATATATATAATTGAAAGTTTACATTGTTAAAAGGTACATGTTCAAAACCAATTACAATATGATGCCAAAATATTAATTTAAACTGGCGCCGCAACGTCCCTTCTTCAAAAGCTGTTTGTTACCTGTAATTACTGAATCCCTGGGACATACAAGTATTTTTGAAAGAGTAGATCAACATTTAAGCTGGTGAGTTTCATAAGTATTAAATGATAATGTTTGTATGAAATGAAATGTTTTGTTTTTGTTTGTTTGTTCCTAGAAAATCCCATATTTTCTACTAGCATAAATGTAGCCTTCTATCAAGACCAATGTTTGTTTCTAGAAAATGTATGCACGTATAAAATTTCCAATACGTTTGAAAAACCTCGTAAATCAATGTGTTTTTAATACTCCATGTGAGTTTTATAACCATGCTATTGACTAGAATTGCCTATACACAACGTTCTTCAGGCGTTGGAATATTCTGACGTTTGTCACCCAAAATGGTGTAATGTAGCTAATTACTACTAGAAAAACAGCCTTTTACGACGCTCATTGCGCGTCGTAAAAGGCTCAGACGACGCGCAAATGCGTGTCAAGGAAGGCCCTGTCATAAAGAGAGACGACGCGCATTTACGACGTGCAATTACGATGCGCGTTTACGACACGCAATGCGTATCAAGGAAGGCCCTATCATAAAGGAAGACAACACGCATTCGCGTGTCGTAACCTTACGACGCGCGTGTTAATGACACGCAATGCGTATCAAGAAAGTCCCTGTCAAGAAAGGCCATGTCATAAATGAAGATGGCACAAATTTTTGCGTATCGTAATTTTAAATGTATAAAAAAAATTATATATTTATTAATTTTTAAATTAAATTTGCATTTAATTTCTCATAATAGAAATAAAATACTTTTTTGATAGATTTACTAATTTTCAAATTAAATAGCACATTAAAAGTCTCATAATACAAAATAAAATACCATAAACAATAAATATAATTCATTGCACTAAGGACCATGTTAACAAAAGAATATAACATTATATACCATAAGTACCCTCCAGTAATCAATCTCTTACAATGTTACTAAAAATACCCTCAAGTAATCAATGTCTTACAAAGTTAAGAGACTTAGATACTCAGTTGGTATGTAATATGGCACTAAGAAGCCCAAAAATTGTTTGTGTTTTTCCTGTTCCTGGTGGATCCTACCTGGACAAAAGGTAAGAATTAACATTTTCAAAGTACAATGCCTCAATAAGGAAATCAATGGTAAAAGGCAAATCCGAATAAAAACAAACTTTATACATATATACATGGAAGTATTGTAATACACAATAACAACAACAAATACCAAATTACCCTTTGCTTACCTTTTCTTATGGCCACCTCCAAAAGTGAGAATTTGATAAAAGATTTAGGTCACACATTCTCTCATCAAGCTCTGTATCCAAAAGTGAGAATTTGATAAAAGATTTTAAAAGTGGGAAAATATCAAGAATATAGAGGATAATACATTAAGAAAAAAAATTACCTTCACAAAGAGCAAGTTTCAACCTTCTTCCCCAACAATGTTTGAAAGAAAAAAGCTCATATATATCGATCTCTGCTAAAAGGATATCTATTACTTGATGATCTTTCTGCAAATTGAAGTACAAAATATATTAGATCATATGCCTAATATATTTTGTACTTCAATTTGCAGAAAGATCATCAAGTAATAGATATCCTTTTAGCAGAGATCGATATATAAAAGGGTTATTATACTTGTTTACCTTTTCATCATCCTCATCACCAAAGTCCTCTTCATCAGCATCCTTTAAAAAAAGAATTTTCAAAAACAAAATCAGTAACACAATAATGAAGGAAGGTGGATTTCAAAAAAAAAGAAAAAGAAAAGGTTTTAAGAAAGGTTTTATTCAAGCAAACAATAAAAAGATGCTTATTTTTTTTAATGCATGATTAATTAAAAGAATATATAATCTGAACATACTCCATCTTGAATTGAATCCATGTCATCTTCACATTGGGTCCCACTGAACCAGCTAAAGAAGTTGTTGCATCAAACCAATCAAGAAACAAAATATAGACCTTTTAGTTTATGTTTCTTGTTTACTTAACAAAAACAAGACTTAATCAAGAGAAAAAATATAGACCTTTTAGTTTATGTGTCATTGGCAGGGCTTCACCATAACATCTTCATTCATCTTTCATCACAAAGCCACACAACTTTGTTAGCTTAGCTTCTTCACCATGATTTGAAAGCCAATTTGTATTTCTTTAAATGGGATTTAAATTTAATCAACTCTAATCCCTTATTTTACTAAATTGAGGCGAAAAGATCATTAAGTTTGACCCATCCATAATCACACTTGTCCCTAACCTTCTGTGTTGTGGAAAAAGCTAATCCAACCAAACCTCTTATCCTACCAACCTCTTTCTCAACTGCAGCCTTCAACTTAGCATCAACCTGAAACCAAACTCATTTTATACATTAACCAATTATAAAACACTTCATATCAATATCTGAAATTTTTAACTAATGACAAAAATAACCTTGTCAATGCAGCGATCAGCATCCAGGAGATAACATAAGTAGAGAGTTTCTTGTACACATCAGCCTCTGTATACTAGTCAAAAATTAAACATTTTTTTTTTATAAAAAAAGAAATTTGGTAAAAAAAGCTTACGTAAACCCCAAAATCAGTTGGCCATGGTGTAGATTTCTAGATTGTTGCCGAGTCTGATTTTGCCAACTCCAATGGTTAGAATTGTGTGCCAAGAAGCCATTCGTATTGCTAGATTAATAAATAAAAATTAAGAACCCAAAATCCGTCAAAAAGGTATTTAAGCATTTTAAATTGTTTTTATATAAGATTCCATTAGAGAAAGGCAGTATAATTGAGGATGGCATACAAACACTGGTCCAGTAGAGAGTTCATTATTCCCATCAAACTAAAAATAGCATCAAAAGCATGAAACTTAAAGTCCAAAGTTATATTAACCACCACACTTTCCAAACAAACAATATCATGCACCTGAATCAAATACACAAAAAATGATATCAAAAGAATGCAACATGCAGCCAAAAACAGGGTGGCATAGATAATTAGATTGTTACCTATAGTAATGTCACATAATGACCCAAGAACTTAAGATATATATGACAATACTTATAGGTTTGATTCAAAAACACACAAAGAGAAGAGGATAAGTACTCATCTGATGATTTTGAATCCTTTTCCCCACTTACTTCCTTTGACCCCATCCTTGATTCTTTTTACCATCTATTTTTTTCAACCAAATCCAATGCAATAGGAGGCTGAGAAAGCCTCATTCATCAACTACCTACCTGCAATGCAATAAACAAGTCAAATAAATTTAACCAAACATCTGGATTGAAGCATAAAAATCCAACATCCATATGATCTGGTTATGATTCATATGTTTCTAAATATATTAATTCTCTGATTATGGTGGTTTAAAGAATGATCAAGGAAGAAAAAAATTAAGTTTCAAATTGAGGGGTATAACAGTCAAAACAATGAATCTTAGTGGATTAAAGAATGGACATGGTAAAATAAAAGGATATTAATTGGCAATATTGTGAATTTTAGCTAGCTTCAAAGGTAAGAAACATGACCGCGATAAAAAAAGAAAAATATGATCTAATTTTGAAAATCTAATGAAGTAAACATGTAAACGGCATAATTATCCATTATGTATAAAATTATGTGGATTGATAAATATATTTACTGAGACAGCATTTGCTGAAAAAAAAGCCCTAACAAAATATCAAGTTTATACATATAGAAACAAGAACACACCAGCTTAACTCACATAATAACTATGTTTTTGATTTATCCAATCCATGCAACAATGTTCCAATTTTTTTTTACCAATTTATGCAATAATCTTTCCCTTTTTAACCTATTTATGCAACTTATACACCCATGTTTCATCAGGTTAAACAGGTTGCTGGTAAAACATCGTATGTTTTGGTCCTACGATAAATAATACACCGGTGCATATTTTCTAATAAAGAAACAAATTTGTTGCAGAATCGGGAAGAGGGTGTATGTTGTTTCATAAATATGCATATGCATTTAATCCTTTTAAATATAAACACTCCAACCATAATTCACATGTCTACTTTTACCAATTTATTTTATGCAACATATATGCAGCTGACACGAATGAATTATACAACAAGTTAGGAGTAAAATAAGGGATGGTTGCATATTTAGTATGATAAATAAAGAGATTTGTGGCATAAGGGTGCATAAATAATAAGAAGCAAAAAGGAAGAGGAAAGCTGACTTACATAATCAGCAAATTTCTGAATAGGTGTTTTTGACATAATACATAAGAGTGCTCCCACTATGTGACATAATCTGGACAGGTGATGACCATGAAGGACCATTTTTAGTTTGAACAGATGATGACATGGGCTTCTTCATTAGGACATGTACTTGATGTTGTTGTTGTTGAACAGAAGAACCACCACCTTTATTCTCTTGTTCTTTAAGAATGTACCTTAAGGAAGTATGCCTTGCAATCTTTCCAGAATCATTTGACCAAGCTGGAGCAGGAGTAGGAGTTGCAGTCTCCCCTTTCCAGACAACAAAATCTCTAAATGAAGGACCTGAAGGGATAGCTGGCAGCAAAAAATCTAAGGCAAAAACTAGATGATATAATGATCAACTTGACAAATCATGCCTAGACCTTCTATTGAAGAAACCCCTCAAAACTAGATGATATAATGATCAACTTGACAAATCATCCTAATCAATGAATCATTAAACCCTATACTCAATTAGGATGGAGCAGAGCAACAATTAGAAAGCCTTTGGTACTATTAAACCTAAGGATTCAAATAATGCCTAGATAGAAAAATGAATCTAATCAAGTAAAGTAACTAACGAACTATTGTAATCATACCAGCTAATAGATAGCTTTGGGAAAAATCCGGTGGTGATGTCCATAAGAATTTGTCGGAGGAACCCTACTCTCGAAGTGAAAATCAGAAAGAGCTTTCTGATCAGGAAGTGGCCTGAAAAGCAACTCCTCAGTGAATTCTTCTCCATCGATTTGTTCTAGTACTTCTCTCATGGATTCAGAGGCAACGTGGAGTACAAACACTAACAACACAAAGATGGAAAGTAAATAAGCCATGAGAATCTTATAGAAGAACGAAAACATTGAGAAGTTAGAATCAAGAAAAACATACCTTAATAAGACATAGGGCTTGTAAATTTGAGCAATAGAAGCAGTGACCCTAAGGTCACCGGACCTAATGTTGCTGGCAAGGGCAGGCGAGGTGTGATTGCCGAAGATGAGGGGCTCCATCGTTTGGGTGACGCTGGAAAGCGTTGGACGGTGGGGCGGGGCTAGACGGAGGTCAAAGGTGGGAGGCGCCAACACCAAGAGAAACATCGGAGGTGGGAGAAGCTGTCGACATCGTGAACTGAGAAGAAGAGAAAGGGTTTGTCGAAGTGAGAAGGAGAGAAAGGGAAGTTGAAGAGAGAACGAGCTGTACAGGAGGGCAATTGGGGCAAGTTCTTGAAAAAAAAGCCCTAGCTACTAGGGAAATTAAAGTGGAGGGAGAAAAAAAGGAAGGCGGGGATTTTAAGTTTTTGGGATTTCATTTTCCCCGGATGGAACGCGCGTGTTCTACTAAAATTTATAAAGCGACGGTCGTAGACAACACGCAGGTGCCCTCCGTGTTTTTTTTTGTTTAGACACTAATTTTAGGGCACGCAAAAATGCGCGTCTGAAATCCTTTAAATTTTGGAAGAGATGATATTATTTTTTAGACACTCACCTTTGCGTATCATAAATCACTGCGTGTCATGGTTCGCGCGTCGTAAAAGGCTATTTTTCTAGTAGTGTAACAGTCAGGGCGCGGGGTTGTCAAGCCCGTATAGATCTATACATAAACACCATGCTCCCCCTCCAAGGGATTCTGGTATATAATACAGGACTTGAAATGTGTACTCGAACGTACGTGAAGTTAATGTCTCACAAAACTTAGTATAAAAACAGATTTACTTGTGAAAATGTTCGTTTGTTCTTGTAGGTGAAAGTTAACTTCTTGAAATAGTGTTTCTAGTATGTAACAGTTCATGATGTTCCCGTAAAACTATATATGTATATTTTTGATGTAGAAGACAAGTTTGTAAGCAAATCATATATATGTATATGGTTATATATATGTATAAATTTTAAAAGATGATTTGGTATGTTTCGTAATTGTTGTTCATATTCTTACGTTTTTATTAGAAACTTTGCATGAATAATCCTTAAGTTTGATACTAAAGACCTTTTTATACTGATCACTTTTGTAAAAATGGTAATTAAACATATTTAAATGATTGTGTTTTAACTTCCTTAATGTATAAACATTGCTCAAAAATATTAGAAGGTGTTAATAAATCTATAAACCACTTTTGACACTTTTACCCTTTAGTGTCCCTGTTTTTAGAAAACTCATAGAAAAATCATCGTAATTCAAAACTTGAATCCGTCACCTCTGAGGGTTTATAAAATGAGTCTACTTTGTTCCTAATGTTTATTATGATTTTTAGTGGTCTCAAACTAGTGTGAAAATTAACATCTTCACAGACTAGTCCGAAATCACTTCTGAAATGACAGGCAGTTTTATAATAATTTCCATAAATGGTAGAAAAATCGTATGAACGCGTGCGAGTAGTCCTTAGAAAGGTATAAACTTGAAATATTTTCATATTGTACAGTTTTAAAAGATATTAAGTTTAAGATGGTCAAAACAGTCCGTGAACAGGACTCAACTTGTAGAAAGCTGTCATTTAAATTTAAGTTATGTTTAGTGTTCTAACTTGTATTCCCCCCCTTAAAACTTGAAGAAAACATGAAAATGTAGGGGTATGAACTCACCTTATGTGAATACTTGAAGAATGGAATGTTGAAGATGAAGAACTTTTGGGTGTTGTTTGATGCTCCAAAACAGCCACTGTTTTGGCTATGTTGCTGTCACGAAAACTTCACAGTAAAAGAGTAAGAAAAAGGGTAGTTTACTCACTTTTTTGAAACTATAATTTTGAGTAGCCTAACAACTAACTCCCAGGGGTATTTGGTGGTAAAAATATCAAGCAAAAGGAAGGTGTAGATGGGTGAAATGGTGGCTGAAACACAAAAGGGACAGCAACCCTTTAGTTCATGGTTTTGATGGCTTTGGAAGGAAATTCTTGTGCTTGAAAATGAGATGAAGGTTGAAAGTAATTCCCTGGAGTATTGGGTGGTCAAATGAGGGTAAAATGAAGAGGAAATTTCGTGGATATGAAGGAGGAAAGAGTGGAAGAGGATAAGGGGACAAAACCTAGATTAGCTTGTGATGGGATGTGAGTTTAAGTGATGTGATCTTGTCTAGCCACTTGCTTGGGTGGTTGCTTAGAGATAGAGTTAGTTAACTAACTAACTACTAGTTATTTAGTTAGTTAGGAGTTCTAGTTAAGGAGAGGGAAGGTCTTAATCTCGAAAATTAGAAGACGGATTAATAAGCATTCTTAGTAAAATGTCTTAAGTGATTAAGCACTTATTAGTTAAGTTGGCACATATCTCTGCCAATTCTCTTATCTTAATTGATTTAGAAATCATATTCCTTACATGAAATCACTTAAATCATGACCCATTACTAGTCATTCACTAGATAATAATACATATGTACAAATACATACATGTATACTTAGTATAAAATAACAATGTAGTTTTTGTGTATTTGAACTTTAATATTTATGTTTTATTCTTTTTATTCAAAAACAATTAAATACATTCTAATTATACCTTATAATAATTCATTTTATATTTTTATTTATTTAAATATAAAATTTATTGACCAATGTATAATTTCGTGACATTTAACCGGTTAACCATATCGTTAAACACGTTTGTCACTTTGGTTCGTATATTTGTCAAATTTAGATCTTTCACATCTATTAAGCAAACATTTTACATAGAACCTAACTTTCTTATCAACTAGAGACATGTTGATACAAAAATTAAGTTTGTTGCGTTTAGATGATGTTATATGCTAATTTCACAAACCGGTGATGGTTCGTAGTCATACATCATAACGAAATTTACCAATGGTTACTTGTTTTATATTTCACAATAACTTATTTAAATAAAAGAGGTTAAATTCCTTCAACCATTCTTGATAAAATACTCATATTGCTTAATAATCAAAACATAGCATCGCATGATCGTTCCTATTTTTACCAATTGTTACAATGGTATACGAATTTCAGAGTTGTTATCAAAATTTCAAGTTTTATATGGTTAATTTTATGATTCTTGAAATTGTTGACATGCATATTCTTGAAATTATGAGCTTAGATGATCATAGGAATTATTTGTAACCTTCTTGGTAGTTTAATTCTTGATCATTATGTGTTTTGATGGAGTCCATAACTTGAGTCCTCAAGTTACGGATAACCAAAAGTCACAAGTCATTAAATCCATTAAAAGAACACAATGGTTACATAAGATGAAAAGTCACTCATTTTAATAAGCTTTTAACTCATAAGTTATGAGAAATGAAAAGTTTTGGAAGTTTACAAAACTTTCCCTCAAGTTTTGGAACATGTAAAGTCACAATTAAAACTTTAGTTCTAATCCCTAGAATTTTAAAAAAGTTAAAATTCAACCTTTATACTTTATAATATTATAATTTTAATAATATTTATAAATCTATAAGAACCAAAAGTCATCTTACCATTAGTAGGCCTCATTCAAGAAGCCGATCTATAAGGGGGTATAAGGTTACTGCCTATAAAATGACAGTTTAATGGGTGTCCACTCTCACCCACCGCTTCTTTGACCAGTGGAGGGTCGTTAGCCAAACGGGTATGACAATGACTATAATTATCCCTTCATTAAAAGTATTAATGATAAATACTAAGTAACTAAACATTTATAAATTACATATCTTAGTTACTTAGGAAAATGTGAATAAGGTGCCAATCCATGAAATTACACTTTGTACTTTGTTTAAGCCGTTAGTGGAGCGTGTGTGGTTAACCGGCACACTAACCTGGATTTAACAAGGTAGGCAAAGGGTAACTTAATATTTATCATAGTATCAGTGGAGCGTGTGTGGTTGCTCGTCACATCGATTGAGGGGTAAATATTAAGGGTACCAAGTATATTTGCATGGTTACTTCACACCTTGTTTTGTGATCCTCGACATCCCAGTCACAAAACCTGAATGGCACACTCGAGATTGAAACATGCCATTGAAAAGTTCAATGAATCTCAAAAGAATCAGGATTTTCAAACCAATTAAAACCTAATAATACATTTCATTTATCTTGGTGGAAATTGGTGAATCGCCATTCACCTACCTTCAAATATTTTATATCTTGGATTACGACATCCCTCTTCCAAGTTATAAAATATTTTGTTAGATCCTAGCCTTAATATTTCATATTGGGTGTTATATTAAGGACTTAAATCAAATTTACTTGAATTTCTCCCATTGTTGATGTCTAATTTAGACAACAATGATCTTCCCAAATCAAGCTTTCCTAATGAATATGACTTCCCGAGTTTGGCTCATGAAAGTCATACTTCTCTTCCTCCACCTCCTCCAATTATTCTCCATGACCCATAAGTTTAAGGACTTGAAAAGTTCAAGATCACTCACTCCCTACTCACAATAAAACATAAAATTGGAAGTCTTGTGTGCACTCATGTCTTACGACTGAAGTCACACAGTGACAGGTTGAGAATGTTGGGTGTCGTTGTCCCAAGGAAGTTGGCTATTGACTGGGTCTTTCAGTCACTTCTTGAGTCATATAGAAAGACTACTATGTGACAGATCACGACATGACCCTAATGGATCTTTCTTATTTTCTTATTGCTGCTGAATCAGATATGATTTGGTACAATAGTCAAGAAAATATGGATGGAAGGTTTATTTCTCAAACCTTCCATGGACATGGACAATGGTGACATTAGAAGTTTAGAAAAACTTTCTCTTCCCAATGGAAAGGGATCGGCCTTGGTCAACCCGCTTGACCGGAAGGTAAGGAGAAATTCTAAGTCTGGAATAGCCTGTGTACCATTCCCAAAGAGTCTATGTGCTCTCAGTGTGAAAAAATGGGCATTGGAAGCGAAGTTGCCCAAGCTACCTGAAAGAAAGAAGAATCAAAAGTTTGACTCTGTTTCAGGTAAGTCCACTATCTAACTCTGTTAAGTTCCCAGTTGATGATTCTTAATACCAAAATGTGACACGGTTGCATTTTGATATTTAGTAGGATCAAGCAAAGGGAAGGAAATTTAAAGAAAGAGTATGCTGAATTTGATCGCGAAGATGGATTTCTTTCGCTTAGTTGAAGATTGAATTCCTGAGCTACTTCTTAGGAGTTATGATAGATTGCTAGGAAACATGTAATAAA